AAACCATGTCATTATGGAATTATTAATTCTCTTTTAATTAAACACTTTAATTAATTTAATAAAGTTCATAAGGTGCAATTTGAACTATTCAAACACTTCAAGGTTCTAAATATAAAAATTCAAAATTAAAAACTATTTAACTAACTGTTTTAATTTATGAACCCAAGAGTTACACCTTTTTAATTACAAGAGTTTTTTAATTTGAGACTTTTCAAATACCAAAACTTGAGGGCAAGTTTTGTAACTCTTGAAAAACCTTTGATTTCCATAACTTATGAGTTTAATGTGGTTTTTATGGAAAAACTTTTCATGTTCCATGACTTGAGGACAAGTTATGGAAGACTTTAAAGAACATTTCGATCAATATTTTAACAAATAAAAAATTATCATATAATTTATCTATGATCTAGTTAAAACTCATAAGTCAAGACAATTCATATCAATAATTTACAAGAAATTAGCCTATCATATAAACTAATACAAATCTTGAAATTTTGACAATTATCTTTTAATTGGACAAGGATAATCACTACCATATCAGAAAAACAAATTTTATGATATAAAACAGTTTGTGGTAGTGATCCTAATCCAATTCTGGCCAAAAACCCCCCGAAAAACTGCAATATGATCATGCAACTCGTCGAGTCCAACTATGGACCCGTCGAGTTCAAGGCAAAATTCATCCTACTCGTCGAGTCCAAGCATGTACTCGTCGAGTAGGTGCTGTTAGAACAGTTTTTCAGCTTTGGAAAAATAAGCCATGCATCAAATATAATAGAAAACAATCCTAAACTCTGATACCACTGTTGGGTTTTGTATACTACAACATCCTATGGTGCACATACAATCCTAAATGCTTTGGATCTATGTTTTCTCTAATTATACATGCAATATTGTTTCCAAAGCATTAAGCCTACAACTAACATATAATTGACATAAACAACATAAAAATGAGTTATAGAATTACCTCTTGTTGTAGCTTGTAGTTTTGGCCTTTAAGAACTTAGCACCCCAAATGTGATGTCTCAAATGGTTCACAAACACCATGAACAAAGGAGGAATTGAGAGAGAGGCTACCTAGCACATAAAATCGTTTATCACTCTTCTTAGAATGCATGGGGCCGATTTTGGTGACTATGGGTTCCTTTTATAGTGTGGCAAAGTCTAGGGTTACATCCATGCAAACCCTAATTCACATGACCCTTCATATTGCTTAGGCTCCATGCGTTAAACCACCATGGACTATCATATTGGTTTAGCTCATCCTAAATAACCATGGATCATTGGCCCACACTATAAGAATCATTGATTTACTTAATCAGTCCCCGTATATTTAATTAGTCTCTTTTGATCCCTAAATTAATTCCAAATTAATTCTTGATCAATACTAATTAAATAATATGATTTCATATTAATATATTAGAACTTATAATATATTAATAAATCACAAATAACCTCTTCTCAAAAGTCTATCCTATCAAATTGCTCTGGTGAAGGCAACCCAAATGGACCATGCTACTCTCGGGTCAAGTACATACCAATTATAGTTATGGGCTTAGACACCTAATCCAACATCTAGTTGATCCTAAACTTCTTGTGTTGTATCATATATTTCTAATTTTGTGCTAATTGGCTAAACCACATTGTTATTAATCCAAGTGATAATCTTAGAATTATCAGTTTCCCAAGCAAGTACCATTGCATAATTATCAGCTTTATTATCTGCTAGATTTTAATTTACACCATTACAATACCCCATATATGTTAACCTTCAGAAAGTTCTTCATCAGATAACTCCAATAAGCATAATTCTTTCCATCTAGTTGGGTGTTAATAGAATTTAAGAGTCATTCGTAGGAGTCATATTGACAATTTTCAAACAAAACAAATACCAATATTGAATACAAACAACAAACGACAATCAACAAATTTCACCAATAACAAAACTAAACAAACGACGATCAAACAAACGAAGAAGACGATGGAAAATTACCAAACATTAATGAAAAGTACCCCAAAAAAAATTCAACTTAGGCTCTGCCCTAAACTATAACGAGTGTGCGCTACCACTATACACCCCAACAAAATAAAAAAAATAGCTAGGCCTTTATTATGAAATAAAAAGATAATTACAATACGAAGGAAAGACAACTATATATAGGAAATTTGTCTATGTTAATCTAGCTAAAAGGCTAGACAAAAGGCCCAATATTAAATAAGCCCAAAACTTTACTACACTAACAATGACATTGTTGCAAGGCATGCAAGTCAAAATCATATCTAGAAAACATTGCATTAAGCCCTTCAAGAATTTCACGACTAATGCTAAAAGAGTACAATGCCTTAACATAGAAAAAAAACAGTCAATGCTTTAAATAGAAAATGTGAACCGTGAAAGTAGAATGTGATGATAGGAAATAAATTAAAGTACATTGCTATTTTTTCATTAAGCCCTTATATGAATTTCACAACTAATGCCTATAACTATACTGCCTTATTTAATGAGTATGTCTTTCTAAAGTAACATTCTTTATTTAATTTTCTTGAATTTCTACAGGTTGTCTGCGATTTTGATTAAGAGTTTGATGATCTTGAGGTGAGAAATAATTTTTTTTTTCTAATCTTTATTGATTGGGGTTTCATTTATGTTACTAGAGACTAAAAACTAGATATAAATATGATGTTTGAAAACCATTTATGTTTTGAAAAATCCATATTAGTTTACAGAAATGTGAATGATAGTTATAAATGTAAAAGTTGGCTTTAATGTCTTCAAGGTTTACACCAAAAAAATTTATAATTATGGAAAAAAATTATTTACGTCATATTTCAATCATCAAAACTCTTGTATTATTTTGTAGGAATTCACTAATGACCTCATGAAGGTGGACGATTTGTCTGAAGATGAGAATGATGCCTTTCCGTTAAACTTATTTGACAAGTTAAATTATGACCATGTTTCCTTTTTGTGCTAAATGCAAGAATAGCAATGTACTTCAATTCATGTGTTTCTTATAGCATTCTACTTTCATTTAGTCTTATTACAACATTGTACTTTGAAAAGACTACCCAATTATAGCAATATCATCTAAACAAATAGTTTTTCACTATTATAATAAGAAAACATTGAAAGTGCAACGCTATATTTGGGTAAAAAATTTCAAAGTACAATGATGCAATATATAGATCTAAAAGTAGGATGCATGCCATAATGCACAAAAATATGAAAGTACATTGTTATTTCTTACATTTAGTCCCTTTTTCCCATTAAGCATTGTCTAGATAAATGGTGTTTAACAAATTGAGAAATTGAGGCATGTGAGGATTCAACATGAAAAAATAAATGAGGGCCTAAATAGTAAAAGCCTCATTTTCCTTACTTTCACTATTAAATTGTATCTTATGCATTAAGTTAATAATAATAATAATAATAATAATAAATTAATTATTATTAATAATAATAATAATAATAATAATAATAATAATAATAACACATTAAGTCAAGCAAAAAAAACACTATTACATCGTCTCTTATGCATTAAGTTATAAAATACTAAGTTATATATGGGTGTTTTTTTTCAACTTTATTCAAAAAGAATGACTTAGTTGAGATAATCAAGAAAACTGGGGTTTCCTCATTAAGTCTTTTAACTTTGTAGAAGTTTTACCCAATTTAGTTATTGCTTCTATTTTCTCAAGTATCCTGTCACTTTCACCCATATTTTTAATGGGTAAAAAAAGAGAACATATATCTTGTTCAATCGTCTTATTTGGAGTGTTAAGCAAATAATATTTCTTTTTTATAGCAGTGTGTGAAGGAAAAGGTTTGGGAAGGAAAGGGGAGGCAAAACTTGTAAATCTAACTATTTAGTATTTATATGCCAAGTACTTGAGCTTTGTTTTAGATTTTTATTTTATAAAATCTTGTAGGCAAGAGAAATAAGAAAGAATGCTAGAGAGGCAATGAGTGAAGAGAAAAAGGCGCATTTCACAACATTCAGTTTTGATATATTTTTCTTTATTTAGAGTAAATTACACAAATGGTCCCTATAGTTTTGGGTAATTTGCATGTTTGGTCCCTAACTTATTTTTTTAACTCGAAGGTCCCTACTGTTTGTTTTTGTTGCGCGCTTGGTCCCTGTCTTACCTAAAAAGACTATTTTGCCCTTGATTTTTTTAATTTAATTAAATAAACACACCTTCAACCCCACTTCCACATCACCTTACCTTACCTTACCTATCCCACTTTATTTAAATAAATTAAAAAATCAATGGCAAAATAGTCTTTTTAGGTAAGACAGGGACCAAGCGCGCAACAAAAATAAACTGTAGGGACTTTCCGAGTTACAAAAATAAGTTAGGGACCAAACGTTCAAATTACTCCAAATCATAGGGACCATTCGTGTAATTTACTCCTTTATATTAAAAAAAGAAGAAGGAAAAAAAAAAAAAAAAAAAAAAAAACTTTTTGATCGTCAATGCAAAATGACCTATTTGTGCTTTGATTTAGATCATCAAATTATGTTTACCAAGTTTTGTCATATTTGGTTCATTAAGTCAAAAAGAAACCGTAAATATATTTTCCTTGATTTTGACCCTCAAATTGAAATTTTCGTATCTGCCCTTGATCTAATATTATTAAATTATGGTTATCACCATTGAATGATATTCGTGTTTTTCTCTTGCGCTCCCCATTCATTAATAGGTATTAAAGAAAGGCACATGAGGTGCCCTTTAGCCATCAAACCTATCAACATGGTTGTATAAACACAACCTCAAGAACAACTTCATTATTAATGATATGATTGGGCCTTCTCCATTTTCTTATTGAATTAAATGCATTTTATAACTTACATTAAACCATTGATGCATCCACATAGTTGTACATCCATGCATGCCTATGTACATAAAATGGCACATTGTATCATATATGTATAAGTAACGAAACTTCTTAATGTTAGAGATCAAGAAATCAAAGATAGAAAGATAAGTGCAAAGTATGATTCACAACCACTTATACATAGATTTTAGACACACATGACATACAAACCCCAAAAAAAAAAGTTACAAATTTCGATTGATTATTTTACAATACTTCTAAGAGGTTTAAATTGAGATGAAAATCTATCGAAACAAAAAGCCATGATCAGATAATGCAATCTCAAATGCTTCCATTCTTGCTCCTCTTGAAAAACCATTACGATCATACGATGAAATTTCATCAATTCCAAGATCATTACACGTCTTAACAAGCTCTTCACCAACACGTTGTGACACTTCCTAAAAAATATTTTAAAGAGTAAATTACTGAAATCATCCCTATGGTTTGGTCAAAATTGCATGTTTGGTCCCTAACTTTTTTTTTGCACTCGAATCGTCCCTATGGTTTGATTTTGTTGCGTTTTTCGTCCCTTACTTAAAGTTAGGGACCAAACTTGCAATTTTGAGCAAACCATAGGGACGAAAAACACAACAAAATCAAACCACAGGGACGATCCGAGTGCAAAAAAAAGTTAGAAACCAAATGTACAATTTTGACCAAACCATAGGGACGATTTCGGTAATTTACTCTATTTTAAAATCTTGTCAAACCCAAATTACTTGGGCCCATTTGTAACATAACACAACAGTACACAACCTTATACTGTGTTTGACATGCACTGGATGTGTTTGACATGCACTGGATGTGTTTGACATGCACTGGACTGAGAGACTGATGTTGATGGGACACGAATTGCAATCTTTTGTCCCACCAAAAAGGGTTCTCAAACTTTTATATATGCAAAAGACAAAAATATCCTCTTCATCCTGTATGCGAATAACTTACAATGGTGGTAGAATTAGGGTTTGTACGAACTGATTGCTGCAGAGTGCTGCCATAAAATAAGCACTTTTTGTTCTGATCATCAACAAGCATTGCGTATAATTGTTTTTCGGAACAGAATACAGAAAGCCTTGGCTTCTTCTGTGTGCCATTGTACTAGTCAAACCAAACACAAAATCAGTGTCATGTGAAAACTGAAAATGATGAAATTGGAAAGTGGCTGAAAAATTTATCCTGTTTAAGTGATAATAAGAGTTTGAGGATGAAAATTTTACCTTTTTCTGCAATCTTCTGTTTCGGACTTTTGGGCTTTCTACCCTAGTTCTAGCTCTTGCTTCAATCACCCATGGCTTTGTATGAACAGCTATAGAAAGACAATAGAATTAGTCTACAGATATTGTCAAAGATTTCAAACAACATATTTGAAGATGAATTTGTATGCTTGGTTTCAAGATATAATTTCATTTAGAACTGCACTTCACTTACTTCTACTCTGAATTGGAGGAAAACTCAACGAACCATTTCCAAAGAGATCACAGCTCTTGAATTGCAGAAGCCTGGGGAATGCCTGAAGCGCCATATTTATAATTGACTTATATTTACAACCGACACTGCTTGATAAAATCAACCACTATGAGTTGCGAACTTCCACCTACGAAATGAAAGGAAAAAATAGAAACGTAACCTAAGTGATTACAAAGAAAATTAAGCTTGTAATAAGCTCATTAATCATAGAGCATTCATTGGGGCATTTTGTCGAACAGGTTTAAGGAGATACGTTTCCTCATTAACCAGCAATCAACCACTCTATTCGGCCGCAAAAGAATCGAGAAATTGCCAAATTGATAAGTTTGGTGATCGATTAATTGACAGAACTAGATATAGTGCAAAATTTTATGGAGAGTGAGAGAGATACTTACTTGCAGGTGTTCGGACTTGAAAAAGAAAAGGAAGCAAAAAGAGAAGAAAACCAAGAACCAGCTGCAACAACGAAACCCTAAGTCCTTTCTTCAGTCGTCGTTTCCGGTTTGCGACGAGAAGCAACAAAGAAATTATTTTGGGTTTTGCCTGTTTCAACGAACTATTGAATCAAAATTTGGTGGGGGTGTTGTCCGCGAAGCGTGCCAGAGTCCAGAGGGCAGTGGCCGTGAACAAGAAATTTTGTAGAGATTATAGTCCATCTTTCCTTTTTGGTTTGTCCCAAAATAATAGTCCGCTTTTAAAAATAAATAACATTTTTACCAAAATATCACATCATTATTACTTAACCAACTAAACATTTAATGGAACATTAAATGCAAAGTAAGGACAAAACTGTCATTTTATCGAATAAAGTTAATGGTAATTAATGTTTTCTTAGTCTGTGTGTTTTTTGTGTGTGTTTTTTATCTGTAGACAATAATTTTGGGACGGAGGGAGTATAAAAGTGTAAATATTAATTATTTTTTAAAGTAATATTTTGAAATAATACAAACGAAATGATGAATAAGCAAGTAATTTAATATGTATTAATAAAAAAAATATTGGCATATTTTAAATAATTGTGTTGTATATCAAGGTGTAAACATTCAATATTTTTTAAAGTAAATTTTGAGATAAATACAAACCAAAATAATAAATAAGTAGATAATTGAATATATACTAATAAAAAATATATTGACATGTATGCTTATGTTTTCTTGTTTTATTGGCACAAGATATTTTTGGTCAATTATATTGTTAGATAACTAATATTGAACTAATCAATACATTGCTATAATCTTAAGAAAAACATGCTCTTGTGTTCTTTGCACAAGATATTGTTGGTTGGTTATACTGTTAGATAACTGCTATTTAAAGAAAATGTTTTTCATTCACGTTTCTGATCATGTGTTATTAACAGTGGTGAAACATATCAAATGGCTTCTAGTCCAGCGGTAGTGTTGCCCTCCCTCCTTAAGGTCGAATGTTCAAGTCTCATCGTGGATATAAATGGAATTAAGGAGTACATTTATTAAAAAAAAATTATGTAGAAAAGTGTTTGGATTTGAGGGTAAAGTTTTAAAATATGTTTAAATTAGTTTATAGCATAAAAATCGTTTCTCGGTCTGAGAAAATAGGCTCACGTACATTATTGTGCCACTTTTGACCAGGTAGATTTTGCCTTCAAGTTGACTTTTTTTTTCAGAGAATACCTTAGTTAGAGCAGTGAAACATGTAAGAGATGCGGACAATTTAGTCATTAAAACTCTCAGATGCTAATAACTAGTTAGAGGGGTAGAAAGTTTGTTCTTTTTGTATAAATCTTATTTCTTGAATTAAATTAGCTGGCTGTTTTTGAAGTCAAGTACTTAGCCGAAAAGGCAAGTCCATCGCGAGCATTACCCAACTTATATCGGTATTGCATATAAGTACAAGGTTAGATGTGACCATCTAGACAAGTAAAACGGTCCTTGTTGTCGAAGTTTACTATTGGATAGGACCATTTCTTCGCCGCGAGAACATCTCTCTACTTAAAAGAGGGAACAAATCGTGAAGAGAACCAATAAGAGCCAAAGGAGGTGATGAAAAGATTCTTGAAACGGCCTTTCTTTCGGTTTCAAGTCGGTCGCTTCAGTATTTATCTTTCCATTAACTTTAACTCAAGAAGACGAAACTGATTTCAATGATCTTTTTTACACTGTTTTAGTACATTGACCAAGTCAACGTAGAGCATAGAATGTGATCTTTATCCATAGCGATCCAACAAAAAAAAATTATTCATAAACTGATGGTGTGGTTTTCAATTTAGCAAAAACCGAGCCAAATTTGTGTGGCGTTATTTTGGAAAGCAATCCTCAAAAATCGAACCGCATAGCTATATTAAATAATTATATTATGTAGTATATGATTAGTCTATTGATATTCATTTGACTTTAACTAAAGGTTTAAACTCCAACCTGAAAAGGATAATTCATTCTTTTTTTCCTCAAAGATGGAACAAAAAATATTAATGCTTGTTGAGTTGTTGCGACTCCTACCATGTCACCATCTCCAATCATCCGGTAAATTACAGGTGTAAAATGTTTTTCTGTAAATACAATGCTTTAACAAGAAAAATAAAATAAAAAAATACAATGTTTAATATAAAAATGGAAGTACAATGCTACAAAATATATATAATATATATATATATATAATATATATATATATATATATTAGGCAAACTTACACGAATGATCCATGTGATTTGCCAAAAATCGCTTGGTAAAGATAACTATGAAAACGTCTACGTGCTTGGTCCTGTGGCTTTAAAAAATTACAGGGCTTGTCGTTTTGCTTGACGATTTCTAATTTTAGATGTTATTTGAGCCCACATGTCCTTCACACGAGGGTATATTCGTCTTTTCATTGTTCCCCTGTCATCTAATTACATTTAATTACATTGATGAAGCTAGTCGTCCTTGTATCTTCATAACTCGTCCTGCAAAAAAACCTATTAGCTTCTTCAACGTTATCATCTGCAAAGAAGAAGGATTTTTCATAGTAGGGTTGAGCAATAATCAAGTTTAACGAAGCACAAATTCAGAAATGATTTTAACATTATGGTCAGTTCTTCCAAGGAATGTGAGTGAATACGTGAGGAAGGTGTACGATAAGTCCAGTGTTTGAAAGTTCATCAAGGAGGGTTTACCTCTTAACAATTTTGCATACCATTATAGATGATGATCAGACGGAATCAACCAAAACCAAAAGGACTAGGCAGACAAATTTTGAAACTAGAGGGACCATGCGCGTAGATGTTTTTATAGTTAACGAATTTTGGTGATCCACATGCACCAATAGTGTAAATTTTTTCTAACTAATATTATTATTTCTTACCCCTTAAAAAATAGTCACCGGAAGTTACACAAATTAAAATATTTTATATTATAGTCTTTCCAGAAATAAAAATGTATAACTTGGTTAGAATCTAAAAAAAAAACACTCCGCCTGAGTTATGAAGTTTAACAAAATAAAAGAAATCATGATCCTATCGATTCCATTTCATTGAACAAAACAAATCATTTTTCTAAATCAAATGGATGAAAAATGCTATTATGATTCCATTATATCAAATACTAACTTACTACTTAATTCTATTGTTAATTTGACCTTTCAAAGTCATTCAAGCTACTCTACAAGTATATAAAGCTTGTGGTACAACTATCAAATGCACACCATCTAACTTCGCACAACTTGCAAGACCCAAGAATAACATCACTCGCTCACTACTTGGGAGTGTAGATTGCAACCCCTTCAACATCTATTATCTTTTGCTAATTTTGTGAACTTGGCAACAAAAAGGCCACTCGTTCTAGAAGTCAACGGATCAAAACGTAAAGTCTTTGGTATCCTTCCACTCTTGCATGGCCAAGATTCCGAACCATCTATCACCAACAACTCTGCAAAACTCAAAAGGAATATGTAAGGCCACATTTGAGAACAATAAAATACAACAGTTTGTACTACGTCTGTCATGCATTGGACTGGGACTGAGACAGATGTTAACAGAACAAAAATTACAATCTTTTGTCCTATCTAAAAAGGCAAAACAAGGTGAGACAGTGACTCGCTCTCGATCTCTCGTCTATCCAAAAGACGTGAACGCCCTCCTCATCTTCATTATCGAAAATAGCCCTAGGAAGCTTGTATAGTTTGGTTATGTCCGGTATAACAAACGCAGTCTGCGTTTGTTACACGGGACAAGACTGTATGGGACAAGCTTTCTAGAGCTATTTTCGACGATGAGGATGAGAAGGGCATTTACGTCTTTTGCACAGACGCGAGGTCAAGAGCGAGTCCCTGTCCCACTTTGTTTCGCATTTTTGGATGGGACAAAAGATTGTAATTTTTGTTCTGTTGACATTTGTCTCAGTCTCAGTCCCAGTCCAATGCATGTCAGACGCAGTAAAGATGAGGGAAATTACCGGCACATGGATTCAAAGAAAGAAATCTCTCAACAACGTCTTCATTTTGAGCATGAGTTAAACTATTCCATAAAAAATTACAAGAAAACTCGATAGTCAACATTCGGTCAAACCAAAGTAAGATATTGATTTTTTTTTATACCTGCAAGTGCTATAAACAAGGTTCCCTCCAACTCTCAATAGTTTAAAACCATTTGTCAAAAGCCGAAACTACATTGAGTCAAACATGTCAATAAAAGATACAAAACTCTAATAATAATAATGCTATGTGTAAAAGACGTAAATGCCCTCCTCATCCCACCTGAAGAATAGTCAAATCATCGGTTCTCTCTGCATCCAAGACACGTCTCTCCATGGTTGACCACCCCCAATTTTCAAACTTTTGTATGTGTTTAATTGAACCATCATGTGTGCACTCAGCATCCACAAGTACCTGATATTTCAAATTTAAAAAAAAACCTAAATCAATCAATCCAAAAAAATTAAAAAAATAATAAATAAAACAATACCTTATCATAACCATATTGTGAAATCTCATGACTTGAAACCGTTTGAAATAATTCAATCTTACTCATTCCAACAACCCCAGAACACCTCCCATAATATATCAACTCCGGATCTTGAATTAATTCCAAAAAACCATTTTTGATTTCCTTATTTGCCCTTTTTCTTTCCTTCCAAGGCCTCCTAGATGTCCACTCTTTGTACAAAAACTCATCTTTTTTCACACCAAATTCCCTGTTCACTAAAAACAACAAAAACTTGAACACCAGTTTCAATTCCAATGTAATATGGCTCTTTTGGCAGAAATTTACCTGATTTAAAATCAGAATGAACACGAATTGGGATTAAAGAAAATGAAGCTCCATCAGCTACAAAGAGGCGACAATGATCACCAAGTTTATATTTTTGGACTAAAGTTCTACAAGCAGCTAACCGATGTTTTGCCACATCAACACCAGTTACAGAGCCCGAGTTTCCAAGAAGTTCTAACACCATGCAAAGTTTAGCACCTTGTGACAAATTTAGCAATGTGATTATTTTAATGGATTAGATAACAATTAAGAATATAAACTAATGAGATTTGAGACATAAATACAACTCATCATAAGTTATATATATACCTGGAGCAGCACAAAGATCAAGAACATGGTCTCCATGTGAGATGTTTAAAGCTGAAACTGCAGCTCCAGATGCTGCATCAATTCCATATATCTGAAGTTTTTTTTACCAAATGCATAATACGTATTTGTAAATAAGAAGAAATTGAAAGTTTTTTTTATTTATATGGTTTTGAACAATGTGTGGTAGATAGGTTAATGTCATGAAATTACAACCAATAGTACACGATTTGCTCTTTAGGTCACATATCTTTTAATTGTATTCAATAGATCACTAAACTTTTTTTTGGGTTCTCATTAAGGGAGATTTCAACTGGGTAATTGAATCCTACGTGGCGTCCACTTTGGCATTCAATATGGCAGAATTTGTTCATTTAGATCTACATAGCGCTGACATGGCATCCATTGTGGCATCTGATATGGCAGAATTACCCGATTGAAATGCACTCTAATGGTATGATGAGAACCCAAAAAGAAAAGTTTAGTGCCTATTGAAAACAATTAAAAGATAAGTGACACAAAGAGCAAACTGGATGCTATTGGTTGTCATTTTATGATATTAACCCTAATGAAATAATGAAACTCGTTTTTGTAGTAATTAGTGAAGATGATGTGAAAGATCACCTTTCCTTCTTGATATGACTTTGAGCTAGCAATCTGAATGTGGGGTGGTAAAGAATAAAAATTGGGTAACCATTCAACTTTCTCTAGCTTACATTTAATGTCAGATTCGATTGCTTCAAGTTGCTCCTCACATCCAGGCTTTAATCTGAAGAAAATACCAGAGAACATAGATGAATTTGATAGTATATCTTTATGCTTCGCATATCTGAATTTGATATTAACTCTTGTATAGTTCTACTTCTACCAATGAAAAATCTTGATTATTTGTTTAGAAGTGGTTTGGTTGACTTTAAGAAGTCATAATTGGACTTCTTTGAACTGATTTAGATTCTAGCGACACTCAATTTCAACGAAATTTATATGAAACCACAAATTTCATGAAGGAATTTCCATGAGTAAGATAACATTTTGCATAGGAAAAAGTTAGAATGAAGAACAGCAGCCCTAGGAAATGGGATACGGGAAGTTACCTAATATAGCGAGGTGTAGAATCACTGGCAGTATAAATTGAACGATCGATTCCGTTCTCGTTGAGAAATTCAAGAAATG